GGTTCATCAAATAATACTGAAAATGAAAAACCCAGGTCTACACTTTGGCATGTTGTGGTGCCAGCGAAAATTAAAGTTTTCCTTTGGAGGTTAGCAAAGAAACACTCCCAACTGAGGACGTCCGAAAGCAGAGAAAAATGTCACACCATGACGAGTGCTTTGTATGTGGAGCGCATGATTCTTGGAGACACAACCTACTAGAATGCACTATGGCCGCGTCTGGGCATTGGTAGACTATGACCTATTGTAACATATGATCGCCATGACGGAACCGTTAGTGAGAAGCTGGTTTTTCTCCATGATTTTAAATCTGATGAGTTAGCGAGAATTCGAATGTCTTTCACTCTACGGGCACTTTGGTATGCACGAAGGAAACTTATACACGAGGGGATTGATCATAGTCTGTATGCTACACCTATGTCACAAAGTTCATCTTTGAGTTAGATCAGCTCAACGTGCCCCTGAGACACATGTGATATCATGCGCTCCACCAGCTCAAGTTAGGGGGCGATGAATTCCACGAGCGGGAGGACATGTTAAGATAAATGTGGACGCGGGTGTTTCATTTGATCACAATGTGGGCACTGCTGCTGCCATATGTTGTGATCGAGATGGCTCCTGGTTGGGTTCTTCTTTACTAGTCATCCAGGGTCTGGTAGATCCCTCCACATTGGAGTCCCTTGCTTGCAGGTAAGTGCTTTCATTGGCACACGGCCTAGGGATGCAACATATTCAGGTAGCTTCGGACTGCAAACAGGTCGTCAATCACATTCACCAAGCCGTTGGAGGAAATTATGGTGGCATTATGATAGAGATTTAGAAACTGTTGGAGTATTTATGTCATGTAATTTCTCTTTTGAACCTCGAGTTTCCAATTTTGAAACTCAAAATATAGCTAGATTTGGTGTTTCTCTCCCTCAATGGAGACATCTATGCTTGGGCACACCTCATGATCCAATCGTTACTCCTGTACACATTGTTAAGGTCAATAAAGCCAAGCTATCTTTGCTCAAAAAAAGGGTGAGAACTGAAGATTGAAACCTATTGCCCGAGGATGCGCCCCCTGCAAAGCATGTTGTCAAACACTGCTTCCTTTGAAAACACATTCTTTCTAGCAAAAGACGTTTTCTTTTTTGCGGGCCATCAATTGGCACGTCTGTAAAAAAGGCCTATTGCTCGTTTTTGTTCCAAGCCCGTATAAAGAAGTTTCAAATAAGACAGAATTACGTCTTACCGGGTCACTGCCCTATTGAATGTTTTCCATTGGGGATAACCAGTCTTGCATTATACCCCCTCATTCGGAGTAATACGCAAGTCTTTTGTGTATTCTCAAAAGAACATACAAAACAAATTATTATTCATTTACCTTCGTACTCTAGCTGAGGAAACGACGAAACACAGGTAATACCTGGTTTCCCTACATGATTAAAGCCATAGCACTAGTCTCTGAACATAATGCCGGGGTACTCCCCTTTTCAAAAAGAAACAAAAAAGTTTCTGAACATAGTCCAGCGCAAGTCTCTGAACACTAAATCTACTGCACGCAGGCACTCATTTCCTAAGCAGCAGGTCAATGGAATGGAACTGATTTTATTTTGAAACTTCAATGGAACTGATTTTGTCAAATGTTGCCTTGCCATAACAACCACATTTCACGGTGATACGAACCAGAACTGTTAATTTTTCCCGGAAATATATACAGGGAGGGGATTGCTGAAGGGAGAAATCTAGAGACCTCGAAGGCACAAATTATGTACAATTCATAAGTACAAATCGAGCTCCCCAAACCCATGGACACAGAAGAAATCAAGAATGAACATTCGACAAGGTAGGAGCCGAAGGCCTGTCCCGGCTCACCATTGTGCATTGAGGTGTTCTACTCGGGGGCGCATGACCATGAGGCTCCCAAGCAGTCGACCAGGACACCATGCTGCCGCTTCTCCTCATCATCCCCAACGAATTTGCGTTGGATCATCTGCTGGAAATCAACGCGCCATGGAAGTATCTCTCGGTGCTCTGCTCCCCCGTGGCTTTTGGCCAGAGAAATGCGAATGCCGGCCGGCCAGCACGACGGAATTCTGACTTGTCGCCGGCGCGCCGTCCGTGCCTCAGCGACAGGGACAGACCGTACGGAAAAGCGGCGAAGCATCGGCGGGCGGGCGGACGGTTTGGCCATCTCACACGTCGCTTTCGCAGCCGTCGCCGTCGGCGCTGCGGCCGGCCCTCGGAGGCGGGTTCACGGAGAAGGACAAGCGGCCGAACCCCCACTGCCCCACCTGGTACATCTCCAGCCACACCCTTTCCTCCTCGCTCGCAGCCGCGCCCTGATACGCCGCCGTCGCCACGTCGTCCTCGCCTTTTGACGCGGCCTCGCCGGGACCAGGCTCCCGGTGGCCGCCCCCGCCCGCACACTTGGCGCCAGCGGCGCTAGGGCCAGGGCGGCCGCCCGCGAGGTCCATGTCGCGCACGCGCTTCTTGTGCTGCAGCTTCCCATGCCGCCGGCGCAGCCGCTGCACGCAGCGGCGGCCTACGGCGAGCGGGGCCTTGACGAGCGCCAGCCCCAGCAGGCTCACCACCGCGCACGGGCAGCAGCCCAGCGCGATGCAGTCCGCCAGCGACACTGCCACGCACGACCGGCACGACTGCGCCGTGCAGTCCGCGTAGTCGACCACCGCCGGCGCCGCGGCCGGCCGAGCGCCTTGGTCGCCGTCGTGGTTGAACCGTCCGTGGCGCCGCGACATCGAGCCAGCACAGCGCCCCCGGCCGCTCCGACCGGTCAACGCCTCATGCCGCCTGTCCATTGTGAGAGGTGAGCAAGGCGACGGGAGCCGAGGAAAGAAATGGCCGACATGGTCATGGCATCACGACAAAAAAGTAATACTTGTGGCAATTGAAACGGGGCGTTTTTGCGCGAGAGCGGTGTTTGGGACGAAATAAAAAGGCGATTGAGCTGCACAGTGGCGAGCAAACTGGCAATGTAGACAGGCACATGCTGTAAATTAAGCCTCTGGACAAGGACACATGCCAGTAAATGCGTCCGCCCGAAATAGAAAGCGGAAGTTTGGCATACCCGTTAATATTCAACCTGATACGCCGGCTCAGTCTCGCGGACATGTTCATAGGGGGTAAGACGTGTGTGCGTGTACTATGTTAAAAAACAAATGGCGTTAATAAATCCCCTAAACCCCATGATCAAGCCAAGCAGCAACAGAAAACTGCCTGGCGAGTTTCAAAAATGAAGAGAATCCCCACGCTCCCTGTGGTGGCGTGACGTGGCTTTCGCTTTTGCGCGGGGTGAGCTGCGTTGGGTGCGTGGAGTGGGGCTTTGCAATCCGGTCTGGCTACTGTGCAGACACGTCGGACGGGTACAGCCGGAAACTGTAGCAGGCATCAGCGGCGTACGCGCCATGGATCTCTTTCCCGATTCCTGCCCGCCCGCCTGCAGCTTCGCGTGTGGGGGGCCCGGCCCGCAGTAACTGCCGGCCTTTGGCTACGTTCGTTCACTTGCTTGGCGCCGATACGAGTACGAGCCATTCAAAGGCACGGGGTCCGGATAGGTTGCCTTGTTTGTGACAAGTACACCAGATGATGATAAAGACGGGTCCAACTCCAAATAATGCCCTAGCCTTCTTTCACGCTTTGTTTCCTCGCCTCTAGACCATCCCTCTGTTACATTATTGGACGACGAGGCTGAGCTGGAGGTGGTACACCGTACTACGTGCCTGAGTGGCTTGGATGGAACATGTCGGACCAGGAGGAATCTGAATATCAATATCTGATACTATGTTGTGATTTGTCTCTACATGCATGATTGATTGAGCACCTAAAACATCATTAACCAAGCAGCAGTAACAGCAACCTCTAAGTACACCTAAAGCATTACTACAAGACGATATTGTGATAAGTACGTGTTACAGTAGTACTGTGTAGCCAAACTGATGAGGGTCGCCATCAATCCCACTGTGGTGCGCATCAGGCGACAATTAAATACGGTGCAGTGCAAAACCCTGCTGTGTCCTTGTCCCCGAATTATTGCATTCAGGTAGTAGATGATTATTGGCACGACCAAGTTTGCACGCTTCATCCATGTTTAATGTACATTCCATCGGTGGTTAAGCAAAGCAACCTGAATTGTTTTAATACCAATGATTTAGTTTTAGTATATACTACTAGTAGCACAAACTGGCATAGCTTTGGTCCACGGGCCCCTATCTGAAATTTTAATTTCCAAACTAGTTTGAAGCCGTCAGTAGCTTTCTGTGTTGAAAGAAAGAAACCATCTCCATCGTCAAACCCTCCAATCCTGTGTATAGTACTCCCTCCGTTTTAAATTACTCGTCGCAGAAATGGATGTATCTAGAACTAAAATACATCTAGATATATCCATACCCGCGACAAGTACTTCGGAACGAAGGGAGTAGGACATACATGAACGGGGACACGTCTCCTATTTTATTACTCCGCCATTTAGCGTTTATTAGGGCATAATCTGCCAAAAAGGCGGCATGATTAGGAAGGAAGCGGCAAAAGCTACGCCGTCCGAAAATTTCATAGCTTTGTTGCCATCCGAAAGTCGTGTGATCTCAGCAATGGACTGGATATTTGGCACCTGCTCCTGGCAAGCTCCTTCAGTTCAGGGTATCCTATTTTTATGGGTGTGGTTTGTCTGAAAGCAATGCGCACACACATCTATACTACTACTGTTTGTATATATTTCCTTTGAGAAAAGGCATAGTTATAAAAGTATCATCTCAAGAATTCTCAATGGTCCGGTGGTAGAGTATATCCGTGTATATACGCGCTGGCCTATTGCCATCATGAAAGAGACGGAAAGATTCTGCTAGGCGTTGGCGGCATAGGAAATAGGCGAGTCTACGCAAGCATGCATGAGCACTCCAAGACAAACACCCAGGAACTCAACCATTCCCTAATCCCTAGACATGAACTCGACCATTCCCTAGAGATGAAGATCGAAAGAGGACGACGAGAAAAGAAGAGTTTTAACGCTCAGACCGTCGGTCGATCACCGCATAGCTCCTGTCAGCGCTACCGAGCCGAGGTTTCCCGACTCCTCTCCTCTGCGTGCATGGGTGTGTGCAGCAGCCCTGCCATCGTTTCAGAGCAGTGGCTAGATCTCCTAGGACATCACACTTGCCGAGGCACATCGCCCATATGTTTTTCTTTTTGGGTTTTCTTTTCCCTGCGCGGCTGCATGAAATAATAATACTAGTAATGTGCTTGGCCTAGCTACTCATACTACTTCAGTTTGTACTGCTGTACTCCTACTGGGCATTTAAGAGCTGCATGTGCAGGTGCGTCTCTCGCTTTGTTGCATGTGAAAATAGCGGCAAGTTACATTGCCCTTTGGAGTTTTTGGCAGCCATGGTGCTGGGAATCTTAGTCAAATATGTCATGTCTCATGCTAGTATCTGGCTGGTGTTTTCACGGCTGTGAATTTACCACCATGCGATTGCCAAGTGATTGATATTTGAGCTACACGTACTATCCTACACGGCTGTGAATTTACTCCTATGTAGTATTAACAAGGAAATGGAGTATCAGCAAGAACTAGCAAGCAAGCGCATCTGGTGTTCTGGCGACGGCGATCGGCGGCGACTAGAAGCACCAAGTTCACGGCTAATAAGAACAGAACATTTTGAGCTTCACCAGATCAGGTAGGAGCAGCAGTCTTACTTGCGGTGAAGGGGAGGCGCGCCGTCGATCGTATGTGCCGGCGTCGCTCGGATCAAAGACCGCACGCCGAGGCCCTGGATGGGTCGACGACCACGGGAGACATGACGATGGATCGATCGGAGCGACGGTGGGCGAGGAGGAGCTTCTCCGACGGGCTCGAGCTCGAGTCTGAGGCAGCGTGGAAGATTTGAGCCGAGGTAGGGAAGGGAAACGGGAGTTAGGAGAGCTCCCTTGCCCCGTGAATCTGTTTCTCGGGGCTTTATATACAGCCAACTGTACTAGGGAGGCTACCTACTGCTGCCAAAGGTGCTGCGTCGGAAACGTTTGGGAAGAAATGCTGAATCGTTTTCGAAATAAGAACAAAAGGACAAATGCTGAATCGATGCAGTAGCTACAAGTGTTCTCTTTATCGAAAAAAAGCTACAAGTGTTCTGCATGGATGCACAGGACACCCCCGTGCAAAGGTGGATTATTATCTCAGTCTGGGCTTAACTGAAAAAATCGGTGCCAGATTTTGTTAAGTTTTGCCGATGCCAATTCACCAACTACTCGTGGCCACTGGCCAGGCACTGGGCTGACAGAATCTGTGGTGCTGGAGGGTGCCAGTGATAGTACGTGGTAGTACTAATTCATTACTACCGAAGTGAGGACACGGAGAATCTTGTTTGACCTCTCCTCGGGACGGACAGGGGCTTGGCTTCTTACCGGGAGCTCCTCTTTCTTCACCTTATTTTTACGCAGAATGAGCCACGTATCACGCGCGCTGTATCGTGTACGACAAACGAGTCAATGTACTAACGGCAGCCGGAGGAACTTCCAAACTTGGCAGTTCCTTACGTTTTGCATGGTCAAATGGTCTTACTCCGATCTGGCATCATAGGATTCAATGGTTTTGTTTTGGGACGTGTGCAACCGAGCGGCCGGTTGAAAAAGAAACCCTTGTCCCCATGAAACAGAAAAGGAAGTGGCTCATCAAAACATACCGATCGAGCCCCACGTAGCCAGTTGTCCCCAGCTTGCACCCACGCCCCCGCTCGCCCCCACGCCTCAGCCCCTCCCACGCTGCCTTTTTCTTCTTCTTCACGCCAGAAGCAGATCCAAAAGAAATCGCCCCCAACCCTTCTTCCTCCTCCTACACAGCCGCCATGGGAGCCCCAAAGTAGAAGGAGCTGCTTTAAGATCTAAAGGGCAGGGTGGTCAGAGTCATACCAGGCAGTAAGATCAAGCAGGTAAGCCCCCTCTGCACCTCTTCACTTCCCCCTTTCTTCTACTGCATAGGCATATGTAAACCCCCTTCTCCATGGATCCATGGAGAATCTGCTTCAAAAAAGAGGTGAATCTGGCACATCACACCAGCCTACTTGATGTTACTGCTGGATGTGTTAAACATGCCAAAAACTACTTGATGCATGCCAGACAAGTAAACATGTATATTTCGCAATAAATGTTTGTGAGTGAACACTTTGGGAAAACTGTAGTATATGTGCAAATAAAAAACATGTTTTCTGGCCAACTAAACATGCATGTTGGCAAAAAACTGAGAAAATGTATCCTCGGCAACTGAGACATCTATTCTAGCCAACTGAATGCATTAACTGTCCAACTGAACATGCATGTTGGCCAAAAACTGAAATAAATGCAACCTGGCCAGCTGAGACATCTATTCTAGCCAACTAAAAACATTGAATGTCCAACTGGATATGTATGCTGGCCAAGTGCAAAGATGCATCCTGGCAATTGAGACGTCTATTCTAGCGAAAACCAGAAATCTGTAGTGCAACAGGAAAAGCACAAGAACTTTTGTCCATGGCTAATGAAGCCACAAACCATAATAACATATTCACACATATAATCTTGTCCCACGCATATATTCTGGTCCCACACCTATTGCAAACCATATTAATATATTCAAATATACCAGAACTAGAAAACATATAACTATAATTTGTCTTCCAATTCTTCTTTCTTCTTTCACCTGGATTTTCCTTCTCAAATGTAGCATCCAATTATGTGCAGAAAAATCTGAAAAGAGTTCCTTGCGAAACGGAAACCTACAGATCATTACAACAAAACAAAAAAGGGGGAAAGTCAGAAAAACTCTGTAGCAAAAAGAAGTCATGCTTTTGCCAGTTATTTACTGCAAACTGTGTAACTAACATAACAAATCTGTGCAAAAAAAATCATAACTGTTATAATAAAAGATTATGCTACGGTCATGTTGTTTTTGGAACTAAGATTATCACAAAATGGTGTGCAACTGCCTATTTACTAAGTTTTTAGGTTGTTTGAAACACTCTTTTTCTGTGGTTACCAACTGATGACATCAATTTCTTCTTTTTATATATGTGCAGGGAGTGTGTGGCAGCATCCAAGAACAAGGAAAAAATGCTTGATCTCAATGAGTTGCCTCCAGATCTCAATGAGCTTCCTCGTGATATGGATCAGCAGCAACCCAGCATACAACAAGGAAATTGGACAGAAAATGGTCGATCTGTTTACTACACGCAGGCAAGTCGTGATGGTAACCCTACGGGCCATGACAATGTGGCAGGCCAGTCATCAGCCCGTGGTGCCCCTGTAGTGGTGTCTTTGCAGTCACAGAGCCATACTCTTGATGACACAGGAACCGAGGCAAATGTTCCTGGTCCAACCAGGACTGAGCTAGAAGCTGGGGCTGTTGACAGAGCTGTGCAAGTAGAAGAAGGAGAGGATGAGGCTGGTTCTCAACCTATGGAACCCTATGTTGGCATGAGGTTTGACAGCCTTCAAATTGATAAGGATCACTACAACAGCTACGCACTACGGATGGGTTTCTCTATCAAGATGAACACCTCTAGACGGACAGCCCGCACCAATGAATTGATAAAACAACAGTTTTGCTACAACAAGTTCAAGAAGCCCAAAGCTGATGATGGAGGAGTTGAGGCTCCTCCTGTCCTGGACCCTATTCCAGATCCAAAATCTGTTAACAGTGATGAGGAGATGGAAGAAGAACCTCCAATATTTGCTGAAGAGGAGGTTGGTACTAGTAAGAAGAAGAAGAAGCGCAAACGCGAGACAATAAAGCAAACTGAATGCAAGGCGAAAATGTTGGTGAAGCTGATAGATGGGCGATGGGAGGTGACGCACTTTGTTCGTGACCACAATCATCCGCTTGTGAACAAACCGTCATTGTCCAAATACTTGAGATCCCACCAAGGCATCTCACCTGATGAAAAGGAGTTTCTGCGCATCTTGTATAACTACAACTTGACTACAGGTGTGGTGTTTTTCTATATCCCTTGAAGAATTAAGTTTCCCTCTAGGCAGTCCAGTGTGCAACTGTTATGGTACTACTCTGCAACTGAAATGGCTTAACTGTGCAACTGGTGTCCAACTTCCCATGCTTTTTGTATATCACTTTTGGTGCTTCTTGTGCACCTAGATTGTCTTTACTGTGCAACTACATAATGTCCTGTATGCAAAAACTGCAAAGTGTTTTTAAAAAGGTGCAGCTAGGTGTCCATTTCCTATGATTATGTTCTGTGCCAACATGTATCCTATTACTGTGCAGCTGGATGTGCCATTTGTGCAACTAAAAAAAGGATATACTGTTTGTTTTTGTATTATGCAGGACGAATGATGCATGTAATGGCAGAGTTCTATGGATCTGAGATGATGGTGCCGTTCGGACCAAAGGCAATACCAAATCTTTGTACAAGTTTCCGTAGAGATGCCACAAAGGAGGGTGATCTGATTGAGACAATTGCGCACTTCAAGGATATACAAAAAACCGATCCAAACTTCTTCTATAAGGTGAAATATGATGAAGAGGACAGAGTTGTCAACATATTTTGGGTGGACGGCTTAACTCGAAAAGCTTATGCGGAGGCGTACCACGATTGCATATCGTTTGACACCACCTACATGACCAACTAGTACAATATGCCGTTCGCGCCCTTCATAGGAATAAACCGACATGGCCAATCTTTCATGCTGGGTTGCGCGTTTGTGAGGCGGGAGTTGGCATCGAGCTTTGATTGGGTCTTTGGAGCATTCCTAGAGGCTATGGATGGCAAACCTCTTGACAACTTCATCACCGATCAGGATGGTGCGATGAGGAAGTCAATACAGAGCATCTTTCCAACCACCGTGTACCGCTGTTGTCGATGGCACATCATGAAAAAGGCTCAGGAAAAGGTTGGTTGGTTGCTGTGCCGGAATCCAGGACTCTCTGATGATTTCAACAAGTGTGTTGACTTCAGCTTCACTATAGACGAGTTTGAGCAGAATTGGGCTGGGTTAATGATGAAGTATGAGGCTATGACACACACGCACTTTGAGAAGTTGTACGAATACAGGTCAACTTGGGTGCCATGCTTCTTCAAACACAGGTTCTTCCCCTTCCTCCAGTCTACACAGCGTAGTGAGGGGTTCAACGCCGTCCTCAAAAGATATGTGAACCCACACAACTCAATGCTGAACTTCGTCAAGAAATATGAAAAAATTCAGAACCACATCCTTGCCAAGGAAGGCTGCAATGATTACAGGACAGAACACCTTGAGATTGAGTTGTGGTTCAACTTCCCAATAGAGAAGCAAGCTTACAAAACCTATACTAGAGACCTTTACCGCAAGTTCAGAGAAGAGTTTGAGCTGATTGGACGTTATAATGCATTCCAAGTTGGTGCTGATGTGTTTGAGCTCAGAC